CCCCCCATCAGTGCACCCCCCACCCCACAGCCGAGCCTCGGGGCACTGGGCAGCCCTCCTTTCCCCAGAGGCCCCCCAGCCTCTCACCAACAGCCCAGCACAGCTCTGACACCTCCCAGCACATACCAGGCTCTCTGGGCACCTGGCACAGCAGTGTCCCCCACCCAGAGCTGTCCACCGGCCACTGGGCTGGTCCCAAGGGTGTTCCTGGCCAAACACTGGCCCTGTGCCTGCACCCACATGGAATTTCTTAGAGGAAGGTTTGGTTCCTTGTTTTTCTGCCTTTTCAGTGGTTGCCAAAACCCTCCCAGTGCCCAGGATGGGCCCAGCCCAAACTGGGACTGCCAGAGGGCCAGCACTGTGCTCCAGGCATGGCATTCCCAAGGCTTGTTCCCCGGCACAGCCCAACACACAGCCCTGCTGGGGCCACCATGCTGCCCCTCGGCACATCCCACCTTCCAGCCGTGCCCCCCTCCTTCCAGCAGCCCCCAAAGCCTTTCTGGGGCTCCCTCAGGGTTTGGAGGACCTCCAGCCCGGAGCAGGCAGGGGAGGGGGGCAGGACATGCCACATGCACCCGGTGACACATGTGCAGCCCGTGCAGCTGCACGGCCCCATCGGCTCTGTCACATTCCAGCTGTGCATTTTTGGGGCTCCCTCAGGGTTTGGAGGACCTCCAGCCTGGAGCAGGCAGGGGAGGGGGGCAGGACATGCCACATGCACCCGGTGACACACGTGCAGCCCGTGCAGCTGCACGGCCCCATCGGCTCTGTCACATTCCAGCTGTGCAGCCGTGGGGAAACGGGACGTGTCAAACGTCAAACGAGACCCGTCAGATCGTGAACAGAAACCGAGAGTGCAGGAGGGCTCAGAGGGATGGGGCCCAGCAGACACGTCACACCCAGAGGGACACAGGGACTGGGGGCACAGTGACACCCCCGGCACCAACCCCAGGACTGCCTGGATTGAGAAGTGAGAGCGACTGCCCAAGCTGGAGTCACCCCCTGTTGTCACAGCCCAAGGGGAGCCCCCCAGCACAGCCCTGGGGACACGTGGCTGCCCCCATCCTTTTATTGTAACTGTGATAAATATACCCCGGC